GAGACGCTTGTAATGGCTTCAGCAGCTTTCTGTGCCATAAAACTTTACCACTACAAATGCTGTGGACTGTGTCCTGATTTTTGCTGCCATTGGGATCTGACTTGATGCAACCCCTAGAAAAGTTATGGTAAAGCTGGCTAAAATGCTGCATGAAATCACAGAGCTGTCTAATCACAGCAAAGGATGTTGATCTCTTAAATAACTACAGCAACTGGCAGAACTCATAATTTAAGCTAGTTTTAAAATTGAGTATCTCAATGCACACAAATTGTTGTGACCCAAAGGCATGATTTTGTGTGTGCTTCGGCACCAGAATTATCCCCGCCAAGTTGCAGCTTCATTGCACGGGAGAGTTTCCTGCTGCAGAGGAAAACCCCGGTGCAGGGACGAGTTTCCCGCCTTTTCTGCAGCTTCTTTTGCAGGGTGCATTGCTCATGTTGCGAGAGGAATGCACGGTGCAAAAGAGTTCCCGCCACTGGTATGCAAATTCGTTTCCCGCTATTGGCTAGTTTTAAATTATTTACACGTGGCGGCTAAAGCTTTGTTTTTTTTTCCAATACCCACCTCTTCCCATCTTCGAGCGCGACTTTTATAAGATGTATCTACGATTCCCATTTTGGTGGCTCGTTCACCCAGAGCATCCGGAGCTCTGCACCGTGGAGCCTAGCAACCTCCACGAGACCATCTGTGTTGTCTGTCTGTAACCGCAACTCAAGCAAGTTTTCCAGCCTGCACCACTGCCATCTCGGTGTAAGTAAACAATCTTTAAAACTACCGTTAAGCGTTTGTGCCTAATTCCAGCTCGACGGCCTTCCCTCTCTGACCCGGCGTGCCCAGGCTGCTGGCCAGAGCCCGTGTGCAGCACGGAAAAGGGCTCTGGTCGCTCCTGGCCCGCACACAAATAAGCACCTGAAATCTTCCAAACTCAAGCATTACTTCATCTTACAGGCACACTAGTACTTCATTTGTCCTAAAGCTAGGAATAGGACAGATTCCCTATGAGAGCTGAGAGAAGGCTTTTCAAAAGAGAAACTGCATCTATCTTCTGGAATTATTCCATAGACCTTTGTTTCCTTTCTTTCTCCTAAAAGACTGACTATTTATGTCTTTGCATTACTCTCTACTTGGGTATGAAGACTGAGGGTCAGAGCTGGACAGTATCTGAACAGAGAAACATGTGGACTTGCAAAACACCCATAGAATGAAACCTTTGGTACTGCTTTATACATAATCAACTTCAGGGGTGGTACCCAGGAGAGGATGAATGAAGAATTTACTCCCTTGCACTGATGTTCTCTAAACTCCATTTTGAAGCCTGAGCATATTTTCCATTTGTTTTCTTTTTTGCTTACCTTCCACTTAAAAGGCTTACAGACCATGTCATCAACCTGGAAATGGATCCTTCCTGAGCTTATCACTATTACTCCAAGACCAAATAGAAGGGACTACTAACAGACTTCAGAGTAATCCAAATATGAACTGAGTTTACAAAAACTTTAGCCATCCATGAGACTACCAGCTGTGTCAAGAGCTACACTCATCACAGAGATGGATGAGGCAAGTTGGGGACCAAAGGTAGCCTGATCTTTGGGGCTGTTGAGGAACAGTTTCTCATGTATTCTAGTTTAGAGCACCTAGGTTATCTTACAGCTCACTGCAGCTTCAAGGAGGCTTTCCATTCCTTAGGATGGCCAGAGTGCAATGTATTTTGAACTTCCCCACTCCTTCCTCTTAAAAATCCTATGTCTGGAAAGTCTGTGTTTACTCTGTTAGGGAAGATTAAGAAATGACTTAAAGAAGTCCCTCAAAGTAATCCATTTTTTTCCTCAGTTTTTATATAAACTGTTGGTCTATCTCACTGGCCTAGGAAAGAATCAATGCTGGGCCTGCAATTTTCCCTGAGCCAAGGGCCAGCAACATAGGTTATTGTTCAAAACACAGATCTCATGGGAAACACAAACAAGAAAGCTATTCTCTTTAGTTTTCTCTGTCATATAGGCCGCCCATACATTTTTTCCTTAGTAAAACGCATCCTTTTGTTTTAACAAAGACACTTAAAAAGAGAATGTATTTTGTTTGTATTGTTTTCTTAATAAAACCTACCTGAAAGGACATGATTATAAACTAGATGATAGCCAACATTTTGGCAGGGTTTAAATTGTCACGCAAGGTTAAATTGCATTGTACTAGCACAACATATGTAAACCTACAGGCTCTTGGAAGTGGGTAGATGCAAGTCTGAGAAACTCACATATTTCTCTGTCTTTTATCTGGCCTACATAATAGAGAAGCTAAGAGGTTATTTTCAGTCATTCTGTATGAGGGAGTGGCTAAGAATGTTTTTCATAATCTATAATTGACTTGCAACCATCATCTGCTTCTTCTAGAGTGTCAAGAAATTTGAATAAAAGTCAGAGCAAATCCATTGTGTGTTATTGTTGCAGATTGATCACAAGACCAGAAGAGGGAGCTGTATACTGACAGTAGTTCCTCAATTTTCTATTTTCAAAGCAGCATGAATCCACAGATCATTTAAAAACCTGTTCAGTTTTAGAACTGGAGAATATGAGCTCTGTCACCCAAGCTACAGTCAAGATGTATAGGAAAAGAAAAAGAAACAAGAGGGGGGGAAAAAGAGGAAACCAAATTCAGAGAGAGAAATAAATTCTAGATCACTAATAATTGTTTAGGTAAAGCTAAAGAGTATTGTTTCTTTTAACCATAATTAGAAGCAAAATGCTTCTGTCATAATCAGCAGAGCTTTTGGAAATCAAGTTTTGAACTGCAGGGGTAGCTGCATATATTAAAGGGACTTTAATATAATTATGGGAAACCTCTTATAGTAAGCTTGGTGATTTACTGGATTTTTCCTAAGCAGAAGAGATGGAAGTGGAAGTGGTACTGGTGAAACCTTAAAAAAATTGTATATGCATTTAAATATATTTTACATTTTATACTCTTAGTTGATATAGGATTCTATCTTGCTCCTCCCTTTCTTCTACCTTCAAGTCCAGATTTCTTGTGCTGGAAGGAAAACTGAGTGCAAGGACTCTTATATTACTGGACAGTTTACTTCAATAAGATGGTCATACCTGAAGCCCCCAGATTTCTGGGGGAGGGTCATCAACATGGTTCAAACAAAACTGGAGTTCTGGAGTTCAAAGCGATTGCTCTCTGAGATACTAACATTCACTAAGCAATAATTATTGGGAATTTAAACTTGAAGATTAGAATCCCTCAGGAAACAAACAGTACACTGATTGTTTCGAGCATTCTTCAGGGGACATATAACAAGTTTATATTCTTAACCAGTAATGGTTTGATTGTCTTAATTCAGGCAGTATCAGAAATAAAATATGGCCTGTCTACTTTTAACATGAGAGAGAAGTTTATATGAAATTATTTGAAACCCACTCAAAAACCCTCACACGTTAACTTTAGTAAAATGCATATTTTACACTACTAAATATATTCATTTATTTCAGTAGCCTAAATGTTGTGTGGATGCGTTTTTTTTTTGTCAGTGAGTTGAGGAAATTAAAAAAAAAAATCTCCAAATTAAGTGCACACACGTCAAATTATACCTTATTTCTAAGGATAAGTAGTTCTTTATTCCCTAAGTTTGTAGAATCACAGTTAGTTTATTTAGAGGTGACTTTGTTTTTCTGGTACCCCACATGGATACAGAACAGATCACAGATGTGCAGAAAAGAAAGAGATGTTTTACAGTATGTCTACATTATGTGCCATCTTGTGCTTAAGTCTTCCAAGAAACTGGATTCTTACATCACTAATTTTCCTGTGCTTTATTTCTGAGAATAATAAAGGCCCTACTTGCCTTGGTTCGTGTTAATAATGACCTTTGGTGCGTTGCCTTTCATGGAAATTAATATCTAAGTGGTCAGATTGATAGGTGAAAGCACATTAAATTACTGTTAACCTTAGCTAGTCATTTGTCCCTAGATAATGTCCTATGTCAAATTCATTATTATATGTGTATGGATATTTTAAAATACTGTTTTGATTAGTTGGTCCAGGACGTTTCTAGAGAACGAATGACTCTGACACTATGCTACCTAAGAACTTGAATCACTTCCCAGTTATTCATTCATCATATAATGTAGCTTATTGTGTTCCTCAAAATCATGGAAATAGCTTGGTTCCACCTGCTCTAATAACCTTAATGTAGTTGTTAAGGACAGCTGTGAAGAATGGAGCCCAAATGAAAAAAAGAGCAAAATTATTACATTTTTTGACAAAAATATTGCTTCTGCAGAGCCTGTGATCAATTGCTACTCTCTCCTATTACTCTCTAACTCAGCTGAATGAGGTAAGATTTTTAGACAGTGAAGGTCTTCTGGAGTGCATGGCTAGGGA